CCTCCAAGCCCCCCTGGTAACATGCACCATCAGCACCTCCCACCCCCCACCTAAGGCAGCGAGAAGTGTCGGGATACCCCTTGGTAAATATGCCTATTTGCTGCTAAAAACAATGGTATGTAATAGGATTGATATTCCTGAAGGTGTTTTGAACATGAAACATGATTTAAAATTTGTTAAGATTGCTGAAAATTTGTTAAAATTAGTATAAATCACGGTGCATGAGAAATAAAGGTAACTAAAGAATACATAAGAGAGAGAGTTAATAACTTTATGTATAACTGATTTGTGTTAATACATATCTATAATCTATCTTGCTGTTATAAAAGGGAGAATCTTAGTAATTCACACAAATGGGATTTTATGGTGTCCAAAGTATAGAAAACAAGATTTTTTTATTATTTATTTCATCATCACAGAATATATTCTTAAAATCATTTTTACTTTTTTTTGCTAAAAAGAGCCAAGTATACAAATACATTTACATGAATTGTGGCATATTATACATCATTCTATATGTATACCCAACGTGATTTCCACTATATAGCTTCCATATACTGTAGAATTACAAACTCATTTCCAGTATATGCTTGTAATTATACATGCAGAATTCTTCTACTAATACCCTGCCATATCCGGAATCATCCTTCTCAAGGTAGGTGTCCCCTCTGCAGCTGCTGGAGCAGAAAAAAAACATGTCCCCAAATCACTCCTATGCCTAGCATCTTAATGCAAGCTTGGCAGTACTGCTGACTTTGGAGCTGGTCCCATTTAAGCTTGTGAAATCAGCACCCTTTCTGTGAGATTATAGCCCGTGCTACACCACACTGGATACCCAGCATCATTATTTTGCCCAGAAGGTCATTACTCTCCTCCACCAGCATGTGGAGTGTATTGTGTCGGCACCACACTGTCAGGGGCAATGTACATATGACCATGTGCATGTGACAGAATGTCACCAGCACACCAAACAAAATGGCCATGCATCAAACGAAATGTTGACAATATGCGTCAATAAAGGACGATCACTTGACCATTTCATTTGGTGTGCTGGTAACATTCTGCTTCCTCAGTGATTCAGGACAAGGCACATCGCTAAAGCTGGTGGTGCCACCATGTTCCTTGTCCGATGGTGACAGCTCAGTCATCTGTACCTCCTTCTGTCCACTAGTGATGGGCCAAACACCCCCGTGTTTGGTTCAAATTTGAACTTTAGAACATGGGAAAAGTTCGAATTCAGACTCAATGCAAGTCTATGGGGCTAGAACTTTGAAAATCAATTGACCCCATTGTGAAGACTTATATGCAATTTATTGGCCATAAAAAGGTATGGGGATTTGGATAGTGCCCTGGGGTACATGAATCAATTAAAACATTTTTTTTTTAAAGCCGTTTTTAAAGGAGAAGTGAGTTTAACATCACTTAAGACAATTGTTTTTATTGAAACAATAAAAATAAAAAATTCCTTTAAATATCGTGCTTGGGGAGTGGGTCCCCTTAAACTGCCTGTAAAGTGGCAGATCTGTACAATGTATAGAACCTGCTGCAGTAAAAATGACATCCCCCAAAAGTCATACCAGACCCTTAAAGGCTGGGAGGAATGTTAGGAGGGACCCCATGTAAAAAAAAAAAGTGTGTCGGGTTCCCCCTCAAAGTCATACTAGACCCTTAAGGTCTGGTAGGAATATTAAGGAGGATCCCTACCCCAAAAATTGGGGGGAAAAAACGTGGGGTCCCCCTATAATTGCATACCAGACCCTTGATTCGAGCACATGTCTGGCAGGGCCGGAAAGGGGGGGATGAGTTAGGGTCCCACCCCTCCATGCCACATGCCCTCGGCAACTGGGAGGGTGCTTTTCCAGGGTCGCCCTGGGAAAAACACCTCGTCCCCATGCCCATGGGGACATGGCAAGGGTTGTGGGGGTGTTGGCAGGGGGCTTATTCACATCAGGGTACTCCTTTATTAAAGGGGCACCCAGATGCGGCTTCCCCCTTGTGAATGAGTTGGGGGTACCGCTACCCATTCACTAAAGGGTTAAATAAAACTGTAAATTAAAAGACCAGACTCTTGAAAAAATCCTTTATTTTGAAAAAAATGCAAAAGACAAGTTTTTGACAAGTCTTTTATTTTTCTAACCCCCCTCCCCCCAATGTATCCGCCGATGTAATCCAGGGTCAAGCGGTGACAACTAGCTCCGCCCAATTGTTTACAGTTGTATGGCATCTGACAGGTGAGCCATGATTGGGCAAAGTCATTATGACTTTGCTCAATCATGGCTCTCACAGAGAACTGGGCCCTGATTGAGAAAAGTCTTGCACCTAACTTGTGGTCAGGTGCAAGGCTTTAGCCAATCAGGGCTTCACAAGGCGCAGTGCCTTGCGGGGTGCTCAGCGGGCGAAGAGCTCTGCGAATGCCCTGCCGATGTTCGAGTCGAACTCACGCTCGACTTGAACATCGAGCCCATCCCTACTCTCCACTGGTCTCTTCCTCCTCCCCCCTTTTCACCTACTGCTTTCTTTACTCCTCCTCCTTTTCCTCCAAATGAAAAAAAATGTGGTGTAAAGATGGGAAAGGGGGGAGATTGTCCACACGACACACATGGTTCAAATTTAGCTTAAAGAGACTGTAAAAAAACAATTGCAGTCAACAACTATGAGTTAAAATGGCCTGTGAAATAAAAACATATGCAGCCTGTTATCACTGTAGTGCGTGTAAAGAGGCTACAGTACATCTGCAGCAATAAGATGTAACAAAGGATGAAGAAAAGGAAACAAACCTTCCTTTCTCCCCTCCTCAATTCTCCAAAATACACATCATTTTTCTATCTACAGGACTTGTCAGTTCCTTCAAGCCCTACACTCATCTCTTCTTATAACACAGAGAAGAAAGTAGATCAACTTTTAACTTTTTGCCATTCAAAGATCATCCATCAGTTTGTGATGGAAAAGCACTCATGAATATTGCCTGTGCTGGTCTGAATTATTTGTACACCAT